GAGAGAGGAGGAGAGAGGAGAGAGGAGAGGAGATGCTGAAGGAGAGGCTGTAAACACGTAAATAGTTTAATGAATATAGAACGTAAAGCCTCCTTTTTTTCCGACATTAGTAACACTTGAAACATGTTGGATATATAGATTATATTGTTATAGTATTTCTATTCTATGATTTATGTCATTCTAACTGTGCTATTCTGCACTAAAGACATGTTCTAGTTCGCTCTACTTCTATCATGGTGGTTCTGTTTCTATAGAGGAGCAGAACTTTATAGTGCGGTAAAAAACAATGCAACCGAGAAACAAATGTGACAGGAGCGTAAAAACGCCCCGAAACTGCTTTGGGGTTCAGAGCGTTAACAGGAAACTAGAGACACAATGATGGTGCCGTCTCTGTTCAGGGAATCCAAGGAGGGAAAGTGAAACATACCAGCGTTTAGTTCAGTGCAGCAAACATTGAGTGGGACACAAAAGTGCAAAATGGACAGAAGAAAAGAGCCTAAAAGAGGGGGGGGGGGGGGCGGACAGAATGAAAGAGACCGTATTTACCAGAACGGTAGAGGCCACTCAGCCAGTAGAAGTGGAGGACAGATTGTGACTCTGAGCCCTGGGATTGGCTGCTTCTCTCTGGAAGTACTGCGAGGGCGCTGAACCCAGCTTATGGGCCGTCGCTTTTTTAGGGTTAAGGGGGGGAGGGGGGGGGGGGGTTGGAGATATTGAGTTTTTTTTTTGTGGAGGAGGGCACACAAGGGAGATAGAAAAGGATTAAGGAGAAGATGAACGGAGAGCATGGGGGAAACCGAGAAAGAGAAGAGACAGTTTATCAGAACATGACAGAAAGGAAAGAAACACAAGACGGAGACACTGAAGTCAATCTAACAGTCGCTTACAGAGGAAGGGAGCTAAAGGACGAAGCGTCAGCAAAGTCCTCGGGACTCTGGCAAGCATGAAAGTCTGCTCAGGATTGACAGTCTGTATGAAGTGGAAGCTTGAAATAATAGACGTGGACGCTGTGTGAGACACGAGAGACGACACGAAGCAAACAGAGAGAAGAAGAAAGAGAAGAAGAGGACATGGAGTCTGTTCTGTAGCGATGTGAAAGCCCCGCCCCCTCCAATAGACTACCATGGGATATTATTTGGGATGATATATGAACGGTAGTCAACGAGGGGAGAAGTTAATTATTTGATCCCGTTTGAATCGTGCCGTGAATCACACACACGCTTGTCAATATAAAAGATAATTTTACGTTCAACTAGAGTACAGAAAGACTTCACACCCGAAAGCATCATAAGTCTCTCATCTGTTTGTGGACTGATGTTTTGAAGCCTCTACTTTGGCAATTTGGCCGTCGCCAAGTTGTTGTTTTTTTTGCAACCAGTGAACAGGAAGTGACCATATTAGGACTGAGGAGGAGTGACGTAGAGATGCCGTATACATCTCTAGTAGAGACCTGTCAATCACTGTGTAGCCCCGCCCTAAAGCATACCTTTTAAATTGACAAACATCACACGAGTAATTCATGGCACAATTCAAACGGGACCAACGTTGACTTGCGTACAAATCTTCTCTGAAATAAGGGTCCATTGTGGTCCACCTAAAGGGGCGGGACTTAACCTCTTAATCTCATAATCCCACAGAGAATCCCGCCCCCCCCTCCATCTTTGTATCTGGGAGGACTCACTTGACTCTGGGTAGACTGAGGATCTCTTCCCTGGATCCTTGTGGAGCTGAATGCCTTTTACAGAGAAGATGGATGCAGCTGAAAAACAACAAGACGTTTGGTTGAAACAGTTTGTTCGTACACTCCAACGTGTGTGTGTGTGTGTGTGTGTGTGTGTGTGTGTGTGTGTGTGTGTGTGTGTGTGTGTGTGTGTACACTCACTGTCAGCCAGCGTTTGAACCTGCTCCCCGAAACATTTGAAGTACGAGTGTGTGAGGGCTTCCTCGGCCGAGACTCGCTTCTTAGCCTCAAACTGTACGGAGACAAAGAGTGTGAGGATTGTATGTCTTTCATTAAAAGTGTTCATGCTTATGAGAAATGTTCGTCACCTGAAGAAGAAGTGAGAGCAAGTCGTGTCCGTCGTTGTCTATCCTGAGACACAGAGAGAGAAACCGTGAGGGAGGGGAGGTAATGAAAGCTAACTCACTTTCTACAGAGTCTCTTTTGGTTATATTTGATTCTCTGAATTTAAAAAGCAGCACTCCTTTAGCCCTGTTGCCCCTTTTTTCTGAACTTCAATAAACGTATGTTTAACTAAAGAGCTCCTTCTTTCCTAAATAAATAACTTTGTAAACCTTAACACATCTAGTTTTATGTTAATTCATTTTTCTTCAACGAGCCGGGTCGTAACATAAACACTCGACCACAGTTCCTACTGGGATGGGTATCGTTAGGATCTTATCGATACTGCTTATCGGTTCTTTTTGATCATACAGTGACTCTAAAAACTATAAAAACACACGCACGCAGCCATGGCTATGCGCGCACGCACACACACACACACACACACACACACACACACACACACACACACACAATGACAGACCTGGGCGCGTGGTTGACGAGCGGCTCGGCTCGGTATCGGGGGAACTTGTACGTCTTAAACTCTTCACTGGTGGTGATGCCGGGCCAAGTCTCTTCTGTGGGAGTACCTGTGGAACACAAGGAGGATCGGTCAAAACACACACACACACACACACACACACACACACACACGGATGCTACACCAGCGGTGCTCATATCAGGGTTCTACTGGCGTCGTCTCACCGAGGATGCGGAATATGAGGTGAAGCTCGTCCTCCACGGTGGATCCAGGGAACAGAGGTCTGCCGGTGATCATCTCATAGAAGATGCAGCCCACTCCCCTGGAAACAGAAACATCGAACAAATGAAAGACCAACAAAGTTTCATGTTGTTTTTATCTGATTTTTCTCCTTTGGATGACACCAAACACGAAGCCAACGTTCAACACAAAGACGTGAATGAAGCTAATGCACGAAAATCATTTGTTTTAACTTACTGTTATCTGTTTACTATTTATTATTGTATATGTTAATATTTTTCTATTTTTGAATTATGTTTCGATTATGTCACTGTGTTCATTGTTCATTGTTATGCACCATTCACCGAGTCAGATTCCTTGTGTGTGTGTAATGTTCTTGGCAATAAACGGTTCTGATTCTGATTATTTGGACAAAAGTTGAATTATTTCCACCTCGAGCGAGAGATTCGGCGTTGGGATTCTCCTCCTGTCATCACTGACGTTGTTGAATCAGACATGGTGTGAACTTTAAATAATAGTAGCCGTCTGTGGGCACCCGGAGCTCTGAGATAAACCTCACGTTTGTACTGAGACCGGAGGAAACTGAGTATAAATGTACGTGCATAAACCAGTTCGTCTATGCTATAAAAATAAACCCTTCGATACGAGGGAACAGGAAGTTAAAAGATGCCGACTCATCCTCCTGTAGTTGCGCGTCTGCTCACCACATGTCGATGGGCGTGGAGTACTCGGTGGAGCCCAGGAGAACGTCCGGCGGTCGGTACCATAATGTCACCACCTCGTTGGAGTACGTCTTCGTAGGAACAGACTTGGCTCGAGCCAAACCTAAAGTCAAACACAGAAAACGACATTAATTCATGTGAATAGTGCTTCTTCTTTTTCTGGTATGTCAGAACTCATCAAACCACAACGAAGACTTAAGAACACAGAGGAATGCACTGACTGGAGTTTGTACAACGTGTTTAGATTATCACCTGAAGGGGGCAGTGTTGAGTCACGTTACCTCCTGTTGGGACACACACTGGAGAAGTTTGCCTTCAGGGCTTTCTGCCAGAAAAGGTTTATTTTAACCCCAAACAGGATCTGTCCTGAACTTAACCAGGTAGGTTTGTTTCCTAAACTTCAGGAGATTTCTGACAGAAAGGGCAAACTTCTCCACACGACGTCTAAAGGAGCCGAGTGCTTTAGGGTTCTTGCTACCGTTTTATAAAATAATTTACCATCCAGCTGTAGATTACATCTGAGTCGAGCATTGTGAGAAGGAAGAAGCAGAAACTTCAATAAACCTCGAGATAACGCGTCTCGAGTGGACATGTTTTTATTCTGCGTCACTCTTGTTGATCTGTTAAGTGAGAAACTGTAGACGACTTCACGAGTCCTCCCTCTAGACGACGTACAGACGTCCGTCACTACTTTTACAAAGATTCATAAGAGGAAAAAATGACGTTTAAAGATGCTCGATTTCTGTTGACTGCGATAAATTACATGAGGACACAGTTACTAATCGTTTGATCGTTTGTGGAAGACCGTTGGGAAAAGTTTGGTTTATTTTTATGGGAAGGAAGATTTCCTAGAAGAAGAAGAAGAGAAAGAAGAAGACGAAGAAGAAGAAGAAGAAGAAGAAGAAGAAGAAGAAGAAGAAGAAGAAGAAGAAGAAGAAGAGAAAGAAGAAGAAGATTGACAAAAACAAGAGGGAGCTTTAGAAGTATAGAAATGGGGTCTTGATCTATAACCTAAGTTTAACAATGCTGAGTATGTAAACCTGATTGTATCATCTGTATAGATGAGGCGACTTTGTTCTTGTGTCATGAGTCACTGTTGTGATGAGAACATTTAGTGATTCTATATCTGATCAAAGGGAGATGAGAGGAGAAGTGAAACCCAGTCGGCCCAGTATGAACACGGTTAGTTCAGAGGTGGTTTTACCAAAGTCGGCCAGTTTGAGCTCTCCTTTCTCATTGATGAGCAGGTTCTGAGGTTTCAGGTCTCTGTGGAGAACCTTCCTTCTGTGACAGTACGCCAGACCTCGTAACAGCTGGAACAGGAAAATCTGGAGAGGAGGACGTACTGTTACACACGGGCCATTACAGGAAACATTCATAAAGAACAGCGTCCTTTAGTCCGACACACTGATCTAATAACATGTTTAATTATCTCTGAGGAGTCCAGCGGTCCGCTGATATGTTATTACTTTCTAGAGATTAAATCTCTGAGATTATTCTCAGAGAATAATGATTAGTCGCAGCAGTTCTTTGGATCCAGGATGTTTCACGTTGACCTACCTTCACATTGTGAACGCTCATGATGCTCCCACAGTCATCCATGTACTGCTTCAGGTCCTTCTCCTGAGGGGACACAAGGACAGAGACAGACAGAAAGAGAGAGAGACAGAGAGACAAAGACAGAAAGAGAGACAGAAAGAGAGAGACAAAAATAAAGAAAGACATGAAGACAGACCGACAGGAAGAAAGACGGAGAGATAAAAGAAAGCAAAGACAGACAGACATTAAGACAGAGAGACAGAAAATTTAGAAATATTTAGATTCCAGTCTAAAGACACACACACACACACACACACACACACACACACACACACCAGGTACTCGAACACCAGAGTCAGGCACTTGTCAGTGTGGATGATGTCATGGAGGGTGACGATGTTGGCGTGCTTCAGGTCCTTCAGTAGAGACACTAGGAGAGGGGGACACATCAGAGTCAGATCGTGGTCCTCTCATGGTCGACAAAGACCAAGGGTTCCAACAACACTGACCACAGGGTCTCATGAGACCGGTACCTTCTCTGATAGCGGTGCAGGGCGCCCCCTCCTCGTGCTCCAGCCGGATCTCCTTCAGAGCCACCAAGTTGTCTGTCAACTTGCTTCGGCCCTTAAACACCGTGGCGTACGTCCCCTGCAGAGACAGGAAGCGTGTTTATCTCAGCAGGAAATAAAGCAAACCAGAGTGTTGGAGGAGTTCGTATCTGATCTTTCTTCATTGAGCTCACCTCTCCTAGTTTGTCCAGTTTGATGTAGGTCTCAAGTTTCCCAAAGCCGATCTCAGACTAGAGGAGACAGAGAGAAGATGTGTTCGCATGTGATCTCTTTAAAGGCATGCCTACGAGCATCATCAGAACGAGCTCGTACACACAAGATGACACACTTACACACTGAAACAAGTGTGTGTGTGTGTGTGTGTGTGTGTGTGTGTGTGTGTGTGTGTGTGATATACAAATTGCAATTTGTATAATAATGAGGCATAAACAGGCAGAATGTAATTCATGTTTTCGATTCAATATCTTGTGTTGTACCTGGTAATTTGTAATGCTTGAAAATAATTTCAAAAGTCTGACGACAGAAAATATATTAATGTAAACATGTGTGAATATGTGCGAGCATCACGGATGGTATACAAGAAGTGGATGGGAGTGGACTGCGGTTCTAAAGCTCATAGTTTAGATTTTTGACCATCTCCATCTTGTTTTTTTAGCTCTCGCCATTCTGGTTATTGACCGCCGTGATCTTCATCTTGTTATTTTTTTCAATCTGCATCCTGGTTATTGGTCTTCATCATATTGATTTTTGGCCGTCGCCATCTTGGTTATTGTCTGTCGCCAACCAGAAGTGACACGAGAAGGTGGAGCTAATTTTTAATAATATTCTCATAGACTTCTATACAACCAGAGGAGTCGCCCCCTGGTGAAAACTAGAGAGAATGCACTTTCCAGAACCGGAGGTTGTCGCTTGTTTTGAATGTGTGTGTGTGTGTGTGTGTGTGTGTGTGTGTGTACTTGGAGTATGTGCAGGGGCATGTAATGTACATATATGAGTCTGTAGGTCAGAGGACTTTTGTGATGAGACATGCAGCCTATGCTTAAATGTAAACACACTCACCCACAGCGCGCACACACACACACACACACACACA